CGCAAGGTTCCAAAGTCCGCCTCGCCAGTATTCATTGATCGCGCACCCACGCTCGCAGCGTCGTTGTAGCGGAAATTTGCCAGAGTAAATACAATGCAGCTTCCATTCCCACAGGAATCGTTTAGAAATACATCCCGGCTCGGGGAATCGAAGCCCGGACCGTGCATCCCGTAAAAGGAGCCACTGAACTAAAAGGCCGAGATCTGTGCGCCAATATTGTGTTCCGAGCCCTGCGGAACATTGGCGCTTTTGCTCGTTGATAGCTATGCTCCTGTTGGAAAGTACCCAAGTCTTTACTGCTTGACGTACCTCAAGCGAAATTCAGTATTGGTTGCGGCTCAATAAAACAGCCTTTCAAGGAATCGAACTCAGACCTCACTTTTTACACAAAGAGTGCGTTCTACCAACTGAACTAAAAGGCCGTTGTCTGTGCGCCGCTGTCGTGCCTTCGAGTCTGGATAACCCTGATGCTTTAGTTGTATCGCTGATAGCTAGTAACTGGGCAGCTGTTATGTGTCCAAGTCTTGCACTTTGCCCCTTTGAACGCTGAAATACGCAACAAATAAGATTTAGCACTCATTGCGGTAGAAAACAGCCTTTCGAGGAATCGAACCCCGAACCTCACTTCGAGAACATGAAGTACGCTCTACCACTAAACCAAAAAGCCGCGATCTGTGCGCCAATGTTGTGGGGTCAAATTGTGCATAACATGGATGCTTTTGCTCGTCCATATCGTTGATAAACTACGCAGCTATTGCATGGACGAAAGTATCCAAGTTTCGACGCTGCCTCAGTGTGAAGCACTGCTACCGCGTGCATTTCTCCACAACCAAGACGATCGAAGGCAGATGCCTCATAGAGTCAGGTGGAGGTTGGGCCTGCTTGGTCCCCTATTATATGCCTGCTTCCCTACCCATCAAGCTAAAGAAAGTTAAAAATGTCGAACAATACTCATATAAACAATCGTATACACGTGTAGCTGGAAATCATTCATGAGCGGTCGCGCAAAAGCCGCCAAAGTCGGGTTCAAAAACTGGGGAACTGCCTTTCGACATTAATCGAGATCCCATCACATAGCCTAAACCAGCAAATCATGTGGAAAGCATGGTATTTCATCGACCAGCGACTCGGTCTGCGGCAGTGAACCGCCGCTTCGCCCGTCCGTACCAGCGAAATACTGGGAGGGCCTTTCCCTTCCGTCGCCCATTCCGTTGTTCTAAACAGAGGGTCCCCTACACAGCTTGGATACAGCCGTGAATGGTAAAGTAGCCGCCACACGCACAAGCCTCGAAAACACGAGGCCTCACCACGCCCAGTTCGTGCATACCCATGCCTGTTACAACAGCCTCCACTGTGACCTGCAACACCACCAGTGTGTCATATTTGCACTGCCAGGCCCTCCCGCCACCCGGTGGGTCGTCGTTTCGTCCTTTATAAGAGGGGAGATCGCTCGCAGAACGGATAACCCATTGTGAACTATCATGTTCCTCTTACGCAAACGCGCAAACTCCAACTCTACCCTTGCCACCATTGGCATTGAGGACGCCTCGAGCGTTGACCTCAGCGGCGGTAGTGAAGCCGGTATGAACTGTGCGACTCCTGGTCCTAGACAGCGTACCGATCAGTTACCCTCAGATAAACGACCGGTATCGTTCCCTAGGCCAACACCAGGCAGACGCCTCTCTGAAAACCAAAAGGCCAGAATCTCGGTCTACCTGCAAGTGTGGGAGGCCATGATGGCTGCGCTCTTTGCGACATTTTGCGCCGCAAAGAACAACTCTACTATCTTATTTGAATCTATTCGTGTTCAGGGTTTGAGTGACTTGTTGTATCTTGTGCGTAGTTCAACCCATTTGCATCCAAATCCATATTTGCTTACTCTGCTGTCCCTTCAGATTGCCGCTGTTATCATCACTGGTATGATGGTATCCGCATCTCTTGCATTGTACGGAATTGTGCTCTTCCATCAGAGCCTCGTGTCGGTGGGTACCCCTCGTGTTGGCGGCTTGTTCATTCGATACTCATGGTTGTTTTAGATCTTCTCTCCTTTCTTGCTTGTCAATGCCACATTCTTTACTGTTCAATCCAGCTCTGCACCGAGCCGCTCTTTGCCCCAACAAACCCCAAAACCCGCTCAGTCAGGCTTAACCGAAGAGCCCACTCCTGTGCCCACCACTGAGAAGGCACCGGTTACCAACCTTCGCCCTCTGATCGACCTCTCTGCTAAATCTTCCGAGGCAGGTGACACGCCTCCGGCCCCAGCCGTTCTCTTACCCCAAGTTCTCTCTCCAACTCAATTGCAGTTGAGATCTCTTTCTCCCGCATTTGATGCCTCGATCCAACAGGCCAAGGAACGTGAAATTGAAGAGATTATGCAGCCTTCGAGCCGACAGGAAATGCCCTCTGCTCTCGGTGCCATTCTCGCAAAGCGAAGCGATTTCGGCCCACTCATGTATGGCCGTCCCAGCAATGTAGAGAGAAGCATGTCCACGGTCAGCTACCCTGACACCTATGGTGATTCGACTGGTAGCGACGAGGAAGCCGATGCCGAATACAAGCTCATGCGCGACACCATCTACGAGAGCGAGCAGGAAATGGAAGAGAAAGAGTCTCCCGTCAACGCAGCCCACCTCGACACCGACCCTGATTTCGATGATGAGGAAGACGGTGACGATATGCAGTTCCCTGTTCCTGATGTCCAGGCAGAGGATATTCCATACACCTCTTCCCCAACGCATGCCGGCCTCGACCTTGGCCCTGAAGTCATCGAGGTCCTCGACGAGTCACGACGCACCACGATGGACGCAGGAGCACCAGCTGCTATGGTGATGCCCGTCCCTCATGCGGTTACTTCGATCACCCCTCCACCTTCTCGTGTCACCACCATGATCCAACAGCCCACCACCGATGCTGTTGACTCTCCTCGCGACATTTTCTCGCCCGTCCCCGTCTCCTTCCCTCAACCAGCGAGTGGCTTGCCATTCGCTTTCCCGTTCTTGCGAGAGCAGCTCGAGCAGCGCCTTGCAACTCCCCCTGCGACCTCCATCTCTCAATGGAGCCACGCCGTCACGGAGAGTGACGAGAAGAAGGCCGAGAAGGATGAAAACATCACCGAGCCCACTCCTTACCCATCTCCACCATTCACGCCACCATCCAGCCGCCCACCAACCATGTACAACAGCATGGCCCTTCAGATCCCCCCACGCGATCCTGCCCCTGAAGCCCTGACGACTCCCGACCCCTTCGTTATCGATAGAAGCCCATTGAGTGCTCTCGCCGAAGAGGACAAGCCCGAGCCTACACCGGCAGTGGTTCAGTCCGTGACTGAACCCGAGCCAGAAAGCGCTCCAGTTGAGGCAGAACCTTCTTGTGAAGTCGCCCCTCCCACTGTCGAGGCTGAGGAAGTCACCACAGACATTTTCAGCCAGATCGTCATGTCGCCTGTCAGACAAGGCAGTCTTCGAAGCCCTCTCTCCTACGTCCAACAGGAGATCGTTTCTCCCCCAAGGGCTGCCAGCCCTCTCAAGAGCATCGGTCGCGGTGGCTTACTCAACGACTCGCGCATTCCAGTTGACGACTTCCCGGCAGATACCTCCGTCGTATCTACTGCTGAACCTGAGCGCACTCTTGTAGCATCAGCTGCAGAGGAGCCAGCCCAGGAAGTCAGCGCCGTCGAGAAGGACATGGAGTACACTGGAGCAGAGGAGCCCCATCCTATCCGCCAGGCCTCTGATGTCGCCAGCGGTGCTGATGACGAGAGCACGGCCCCCAAGGCCAAATCAGACAAGAAGAAGAAGAAGAAGACCAAGAAGAACAGGAAGAGCGTCTCCATCGACGAGGTTCCCTTCGTCATTGGATCAGACGCCGAGCGTGAGGAGGATGCCTCTGACAGTGTAGCCAGTGGATTTGCCTCCCCGGCTCTTGCTTCCCCGTCCTATGTTTCCTCTCCCTTGGCAGCTGCGCCAATCCCCATCCCGAGAACGTTCGAGATTGAAGAGGAAGTTCCCGAGCTCGTTTCGCCCGACGTCTCTGCCGACTACATGAGCAGCAGCCCTGGTCCCATGCGCCCTCTCTCCCTCATGTCAGAGCTCATGTCACCTCGCTCGACTGCCGACGAGCTCTCGGATTCTTCTGTCATCCTTCCTCCTGGTCAGTTCTCTGACAAGCAAGTTGACCACTATGGACGATGGTTCGCCCGCGCACATCGTGACAAAGCGGTTCGTACCCTTTCCTTTTGTTTATCCTTTACCTCGTACTGACTCAATTCTTTAGCTCCCATCCATTCAAGCCTTGCGTGATCAGATGAAAGCTTGCACCGATGTCGAGCTTGCCGGTAGACTGAGACTTGGCTCCCGCGCGGACCCAACCAAGCTGAGCAAGAGTCTCGTCGGAGAGGACAATATGAAGGGTGTTGGTGCCCAGGGCAGCTTGCCCCCGCCTCCCGTCAGGAAGGGTTCTTCCTATCGTCGTCGTCGTTAAAACTCATCATATCTTGCCATATCTTGCATTGTCCTGTTTTCTGTTCCCTGTTGTATTTCTAGTCGTAAACACAGGACTTCGCTGTGCGAGGTCTCTGGTGTTATGTACATAAGTTGGTATGCAACATGCATAAGTGTTCAAAAATGCCTTGAATGTAAACTCTCTTGAGACGTAACTTTTACATTGCACTAGAAAAACAGGCGGACAAACATATCAAAGAAAAATGGTCATAATGACCAGTGAAAAAAGGGCAATGTATCCCGCATAAACTGGCATATATCGGTTTCGTCCTTCTGCGGCACTTACGGTTCCTATAAGCGCACGTTCTGTTGTATCACATAATCCAGAACCGAGAAGATAGACGCTTGGAACCAATATCTACAAACGGATATTAGTCATGTATGAGGAGGAGAGAATGTACATACGATTGGCTGGCCACCTTTGGAGTATTCGATCGAAACAATACCATCACTCCCCACAGCATACTGTACACAAGAGAAGATACTAAGAGACAATTAGTGGCTAATGGCGGTGATCAAAGCGAGCATCTTACTCGGTAGTAGCAACGCTGCGTTGATACGGAGTGAGTACCGGGAAACTCATATTTTGCGGCTGAATAAGAAGTTTTCAGTCGTAAGTAGATTGGAGGCAAACATACACTCACAGGAGATCCGATATTGGTGACGACGCCAATGACACCACCTCGCACGATCCCCATGACTTTTTCGCTTACACCCACTACTTGAGCAGGGGAATCTATGAATCCTGGGATACCCGGGAACCCATCCCTCCGCTCGACGCCAGCTTCATCCTTCCAAGCCCTTCCGAACCCTTTCTCCACAGGTCGTTCATGACTTGACCTCTCCCTTCGGTAAAGCTTCTCGTTATTCTGCCACATGTAGCCTTCATAGGTTCGTTTTCGGTCGGTCGACTCCTGAGCGTCCATCTTGATCATCCAGTTCCTCAGCCTGTTGAGTTTGGTGATCATTTGCACGGCAGTGGTGTTGACGTATCCTGATGGCCACAAGGCCTCACGGTTTGCCGGGTCGGAGCCACCAGAGAAGCCTTGTTCAAGACCATAATATACGATTGGAATCCCGTCGGACATAAAGATGAAGGTCAGTGCGTTACTACAGGAAGATACCGGTCAGTATAAGATTCCAAAGGAGAAGATGCAAGTCACTTACT